TTTTTTTTTTTTTTTTTTTGTTTGGTGATGGTTTAATTTTTAATACAGCCTCTACTAGTAGAGTAAGGGAAAGGCTGAGCTTTAAGCAGGCTTAGGGTCTGGACGCCCCGACACTCAGCTTGCTGGCCCTGCAGTTGTTGGGGCGGTGGGGGAACCATCAAGGACGGCTGGTACTTAGGCAAGGACCCACTGATGTGGGTATGGATCAGGAGACCTTGAACTTCTGCCAGGCTATTTCTGGGTTCCGGTGCCTCTGTTCCACATACACCCACTTCGCAGGACCCATCCCTTGGTTTAAGTAGGGGGTGGGGGTGACCCTCCGGAACTGGGGTGTTTCCGGGTTTTCTCCTCTTGAATTGATTCGGTGAGGAATTGTGGGAAGGCTTTGTTGCTCCCTTGGGCGGGGAGACGTGGGGAAGGGGCCTGCCTCGCCCCGCCCTTGCACGTGCAGAGTAGTTCCGTTGTCCAGCCAGAGAGGGAACAGCAGCTTTGGAAGGTGGAGCAGCCGGCCCTGGAGCGAGATGGCGGGCGGGGTGGGGCACGCGCAGGATTCAGAAGGGGGCGGGGGCACGGGCGCGGTCCTGGTTTGGATTGGTCAGCCTGAAGGTGCTGGAGGAGGTATGTGAGGCAGGTGTTATGGGGGCGGGGGGCCTTGGGGTCAGGAGAGCAGAATGGCCAAGGAGGGATGGGGGGGAGGGTTGAGAGGTGGAGCCAGTGAGGATGAAAGAAGCATGAATACAAACGGCTTGCCCTGCCTTCCCCTCCAGTCCCAGGTACCTCCCATTTTTTAATTTGTGGTGCCATGCCCTGTAAGCCCTGCGACCACCAGCATGTATTGGGCTCCCAGGAGGTGGCAGTACCTGTGCTGGGTAGCCCAGAAATTCCATAAACACTTGGTCCCTACCCTAATAAGGGGGCTTACCCACTAATGGAAGAAAAAGGGGGTAACAGTGTGAGTATTGGAGTGTACAGTTGATCTAGGCAAGATGGCATGGGAGGCATTCTCGAGGGAGAAGTAATTAACATTAGGGGGCAACTCTATAGTTGTCCTGCTTCAAGACGGATCCTGAGCAGAAACATGATTGTTTTATCATGTCCGAGAATGACTCTCTACTTTCCTCATGCAACCCAACCCACCCACCCACCCATCGCCCACTAGCCAGTGCAGTGGAAATTTGGCAAGGGGAGAAGAGGGAGTTTATGGAGAATGGCCTCATTTTTATCTGTAAAATATTAAGCAAGGTTCTCAGTTCTTCTTACCCACAAATACTAACTTCTGGGGATCATTTTTTTATTTTAAAAAACATCTATGACTGGAAAATGAGATATGTAACTCATGCAGTAAGGGCAATAACCAAGAGGTAAAAAGGTGTCCTTCAGCCTCCATTCACCTCCCCATCATGTGGTGTGGAGGCCCTATGGATGATCTCTCACACGAGGATGTAATCTCTCTTTGCATCTGAAAAACGTGCATTACACTTTCTGTCAGAAGAGGAAAAAGTACTGCTTATGAGGGAAAGCCCGTACACCCCACTCCTTGATGGACTGTGGAAGTCCCTAAAAGCTGAGTTTCAGGTGGGGGGTATGGGAGTACATTGATTAAGAGATTTTCTCCCCAGCTTAGTTTTCTGAAAAAATAATTGTCAGGGAGTAAGAAGAGAGGCTTTGGTGTAAGACCTTGCGGGATAAACTGGGGTCTAAGAGAAACCAGACTAGAACATCTCTGTTCCCATAGGGATTGAATGCCAGTGGTTGTTCTGAAAGATACAGGGGACCAAACCAGAG